GCAAGTCACCTCATCCTTTTTGCATGAATACACGAAATTTTGCCAAATTGTTTATGGTTTGGAATTTTGTTCAAATCACCTTTACCATGATGTAGTTTTAATTTATTTTCTTACAGGACTGATAGAAACAGTCAGGAAAATCTTTTGGTACTAAAATCAAAATAAACATACAGTATAAGTGGAAATTTAGCAGTCTTAAATATTGATATTACATTTTTAGCGTGATTTAATTTTTTAATTAATTTCAAAATGCTTATTAAAGAGACTTTTACGAATAAAACGCAATTAGTTTTAGATAACTGTAAACCAACTTTTATTCACGTGCGAGAAATTTTCGCGATTTTCGCGAGAGCCTCGTCATCGCGAATATTTCTTGCAGCGAACCGGTCCTTAGCGTGTATGTGTCTAATAACAACAGATCCAAAAAGGCTTGATCGCGAAAATAAAAAACGTCGCGAACTAGTTTATCCGTGGTAAATCGCGATATAAAGTCGTCGCAAAAAAAGTTGGTTTACAGTATTTAATTTCAGTTATCTCAGTACTCTTATATGTCAAAATTTAATCCTCGCTAACACTTCTGCTTATATGGCACAATGAAAGACATTGAAATACTTTTTGTCTACTCTTAGCAGTTTCATCCAGAAAGATGGACTTTATGCAAAAATATTTTAATGTCTTTGTTTTGAAAATTCTTTATTTTATGGCTGTTATTAAAGGTACTTGGACACAGATTTGAAGTTATTATTTTCTCTATAATATTACGACTTATATATTTTAATACCATTTCACACAAAAATTCATAAAAAATCTATTTTAATTTAAAAGATATTAAAATTTCAAATTTTTTGGCGGGTTCGATTGACACATCCTTGCACTTTTACAAATTGATTTTATTCTTTATCCTTAGGAAAAGTTGTGTATAAATGAAAAATATTAATACTGAAATCCAGAAAATTCAAAGTAGACATGTTCGAAATCAAAACAAACAAACAATATATTGTAAGTCCGTGCAGTTGTGGTAGAACGCACCTTGTAAACATAAACAAAAACAGAACTCGTGCCCTGTTTACAAAAACTGTGTACATAACACGAGTGTGATCGATTTGCTAAACCCTGTACGCAACTCTTAGTTCAGACTGACGATACTTGTGAGGGACTTTTGCTTTCTAACATCTCTACTCTGAATAAAATTATTTTTCTGGATAAAAGTTTTAATATTTCTCATTAATACACAACAAGATTGCCACTTTTCCTAAGGATTAAGAATAAGGTTAAAATTTGTGAAAGTGCATGCATGTGTCAATCAAACCTGCCGAAAAATTTTTAATTTTAATATCTTTAAAATGAAATAAGATTTTTAATTAATTTTTGTGTGAAATGCTATTAAAATATATAAGTCGTAATATTATAGAGAAAATATTGACTTCAAATCTGTGTCCAAGTACCGTTAACCAAATTATTCTTCATAAAACTTGAGTTTATTCAGACAGTTCCTCAAGTCAGATGACGATAAAAAAAAATTAAGTTTTAAACTCTTCTTCTCAGGAGCCACTGGGCAAGGAAAGGTGTAACTTATGTGGAAACATTTCATGTTGTGTAGATTCAAGTTTGTTCAAATCTGTTCCAGAAAGGGAAGTAATTCCAAAATGAAGACGGCCTTATGATCATTTTATCAGAAAATTAAAAAAAAGACGCCCACAGGCCTAACAGGTCATCTGCGTATCATGTAACAACTTTCCAACAATGAAATTAAAACCAGATGCCATGAAATTCCCAATTTCGAACGAGACACCATTGTTTATCATAATTATACACTTAGCAAGCTTACTCTAGTTACTTAATACCAAGAGGTAGATCAGAGTAACAGAAAAAATGCATTTACACTTTATAACCAATTGTGCACCCCACCCCAAAGGAACCACTGACCCTGAGGCCACATATTTCGAAATTTAACTAATCATAAATTTTATTTCATCATAAATGGTTGATAAATAACAAAGAGCATATTTCAAACCATTAATGATTAGTTTTCAAACTATGTACCCCCCCCCCCCATACCCTTGACTCAGGGAGCATGAAATTAATCATTTTGCTAAATGTATCTTTCTTCATCATAAATATATATATACTTAGATCATAGGCATAATACCTAAGAGCAATGTAAAAGAAATTCAAAAAATTTAATGCAATGTATTTTCATACAATTAATAGAGCCCCCCCCCGTACAACAAATGGCAAATCCCCTGACCCTGAGGCCATAAAACTCACAATTTTGGTAGAGGCACTGTTGTTCTTTATAAATATATACTAAGTTAATCTATTTAATACCCAGGCCAGGAGCAGTGGAGAAGATTATAAAAAAAAGTGCATAAAATTAATTAGATATATGCCAATAGTTTGACTGCTTGATGTCCAGGAGTAAAGAATATTTTTAAAGATTTCATTAATATAAGTGGTTTTGATCCCACCCTTCGGGCCCCACAGGGACGGGAACCATTAAATTCATAATATTTGTTTTCCCTTCACTCATAGATGCTGTATACTATATTTGGTTGAAATTGGTACAGTGGTTTCAGAGAAGACACGGCGCACAACATTCGACGCACGACGACAAAAAGAGTTAGCAATGGGTCACCCGAGTGACTAAGCTGACCTAAAAAAAACAGATAAATAAAATTGATAAAATACAGAGGAATTATAAAATTTTGAGCGTAATTTGTTTTTTGGCACAGAAACTTGAATGGCATGCATGACGATTACGAGGGACGGTCAATAAATAATGCAACATGTCATATAAAAGAAAGAACAGTACGTAATACATATTCTTAATAGTTTCAATCCCTCAAGATATTTTCTGGTACCCTTTACGCGTGTCTTGAGTCTTTGTATCCATGAACAGAAATCCTCAGTATACTCATGTTTAGGGTTGCCCAAAAGACACTGAGGAATATCATTTCCCATGACATGTCTGACATTGTACAATCTTCCTTCGATTGTTTTCATGTGTTTTGGGTATGAAAAGATCTCAAAGAGTCTGCGATCAAGCTAATGTGGATGACAGAAACGTCCTCTATACTTTCTTTTTTTCAAAATCTTATTTATTTCTCTAAGAGTATATGCAGCAGCGTTGTCAGGCACAAGAAAAATACCCTGGTCACCGAATTTTGGACTTCCTTTGCAGAAAATCCGTTCAACTTTATTTTCTGCAATTGAAGATAAAACTTACCATTGCTAGTTCTTCATTTAGATGTAAGTACATGTTTTAACGGACCTCTTAAAATACACGAAAACTAATAAACCATTTGGAGCCATTACTTCTCTTTATCATAATTAAATGACATCCTTTTCTTTGATTCCACATTTTTTATCATTTATCATATTTTACGGCTATAAAAAATGCTCCCATGTTTCATCATACATTAATCAAGTTTATCAATTCTTCGATTTTGTTTAAACATTTGTTTTTAAATAATCGTTGGCACATTTAACGAATGTTTTCTTTTGATCATTAGTGAGAAAATAGAATAGGGCTCCTAGCTGATTGAAATATTTTTACAATATGAAAATTCGTGGGATATTCTGTGTTTAGAAGATCTTAATAGAACTTTTCAAATATGAAAAATAAAATCAAATGCCTCACCATTTATTTTGATATATTGTGTATTTCATTACTTATTGAACGACCCTCGTATCATGCTCGTAATTGTAATCTTAATGTATAAACCTGTCATCTTATCCATTATCATGTAGTGAACATGTTAAAGTTCCCCAAAATAATTTACATGTGTACAGGATAATTAATTAACTCTTAAATTATTGATCTTCAGCTGATTGACTTTCCGTTGTCACGCTTCATAGCAAATAGTCGCCGATTAACGACAGTGTTTGTTTTAACATGCCCCGGCTTTCTATCGGGGTGAATGGCAGCACAATTAACTACCCAAGTTATTAAAAAAGTAGGTGTCAGGACTGAAATGCAATAGACCTTAATCATGACGGCTGCTGATTTTAACCATGGCGGGGCACCATGGTAAAACCACTTGTGGAGAACCCTGCTATACTAAATGAGGATATTTCCATATTAGTTTTATCTTTTCTGGCTCAATGGTTCTTGAGATGAAGATTTTTTTAAAAGAAGCCATTAATTTTTCACTTATTTTTAATTATCTCCCCTTACAAAAAGAATAGGATGTAACCTTTAATTTAATAAACTTGAACCACTTAATCCAAGGTTACTTTGTGGAAAGTTTGGTTGAAATTAGTCCAGTGGTTCTAGCAAAGAATTCGAAAATGTGAAAAGTTTACAGACGGACAGACAGATCGACAGATGGGCGGACGACGGACAAACTGTGATCAGGAAAACTCACTTGAGACTTTGGCTCAGGTGAAATAAAAATGTTAAATATATCCCCCTAAGAGATCGACATTTACAGAAGAGTGAATCAGTACATGTATATTTAATTTTAAATATCTCTAATTTGTTTATACATGTATTTACAAGGAAATTTAAAAAATTTGAAATATTTTTATACAAGATGGTGAAGTCGAACAAACTGTCAAAATATTATTCAAGTACTGTGGTTTCATTCAGGTTTTGTACATATATCATCAGAGACTATGAAGTTATTAATACAGTATTATGACTGTGTCCTTCATCCCCTAATCACCTCCAGAAACATCATGAATAGGAATCTTACATTGAATATGAATGCAATACAATGCTGGAAAATACCATTATATGTAGGTTTTTTTTTTTATAAATCTACAGGAAGGAATAAAAAACATTTAACAGGTTTTTTTTAAAGATTTTGTAACAATAATAAACACATATGCCTTGAATTATTACTTTAAACATTCAATTTGTTAATATATTAAGAATTGATGGAAAATATGTAGACTCCACACATGAGAATATACACAAAATTTAATGATTGAATCAATTGATGTTTCTATGGCATATGTTACGATTTCACAGAATGCTTAATCACAATTCAAGTAAATTACACTGTATATTGAAACACGTTGACAAGTCCTTCCCAGTATCCCACCCACAGTGTAGACTTGTACAGAGATAATGTGACGGGATGATTCACTTCATTCTGCTGGAGTAAGAACTTCAGGAACTCCCCGTCAGGACTAAGCAGATGGATCTGTTTGTTATTTGTGTCAGTAACAAGGATGTTACAGAGGGAGTCACACACTACATCAGCTGGATTAAAGTCCTCTGTCAGGTTCTGTCCACGGTAGACAGACTTCATACGACCAGAGGGAGACAGAATCACTAGTTCACCTGTATAGGCACTTATACGGTTCACAACACAAATATCACTGTTACTGTTCTGTGTGGCATGGGATGGCAATGTAAACAGTCTGGTTTGACTGTTCTCTTGGTATTCATACTCATGGATGACATCACCTGTCACTGTGATGTGTCTAACCAGACGTCTGCTGTGTGATTCTAATTTGTAAGGATCTGAATACATGTCTCTCAAGGTGACCAGTAGTCCACCATCCACTGACCGACAGATTCCCCATGGTGCCAGTGGATCTGTACTGACGACTGTAGACAGAGATCCTGATGATGAAAGACAGTTTACGGCATTGTTGACGCCATCAGTGAAATAAATATCACCAGTATCAGTCACATACAGATCATTAGGTTCGAAATTACATTTATCTTTTTTCTCACCATCTTTGTTTACATGTTCAGTGGAAGATGACTCTGTATCTTCTATGTAACACTGATCTTCACAAAATGCTTTCAATATAACTATTGATTTATCTCCATATTTAAATGAGTTTGTTTCATTCAAACTGATATTGTTTAAATCCTGAGTTCTTCCTATTATATTCTCCATCACCTCATCATTGATTTCTCCTTTAACGTATCTCAATGAATAATCAAAGTTGTTAAAAGTAACATCCTGACCAGTTAGTTTTTTGGTCAGTTCCCTGTGGTTGTCGAGGAAGCCGTAATCAGACATAGTGTTGTTGTTATCCTCCATATACTTTACCATCTCTTCTATTTCTTTCTTCTTTTTGTTTAGCTCTGATTTCACACTGTTCAACTTTTTATTTTCTTCCTCCAAATCCTTAGTTAATCGTCGTTCATTATTTTTCCTAATTTCTGTTAACCTGGCCATTATCTCATCAACATGCTTCTGAAGCTTTTTAATCTCAGTGTCGCACAGTTCTTTATTTTCTGTGATCTTATTTGACACTTTCTCCATCTTTCCATTTATCCCAGGCAGATTCTCTTCCTTTATCTTCTTCAGAAAGTTAAGCAGATCTCTCCTCCTTTGGCTGGCTGCCGTGGATAGAGTGCTCCATTCATGTCCCTTATGACTTGTTTTGGCACACTTACCA